TGAGGGCGCAGACAGACGACAGAGGGTGAGGACGCCCTGCTCTGGGCCACGGATTCGCGTGGCGGGGCGGCAGGGGGGTGAGGAGGCGTCGAGCTGAGGGTTGGCGGAATGGGACCCGGTGAGATAGGCTTGGTGAGGTAGGAAGCCTTGTATCGGCCTGGTAGGATGAGTCCCGGGTAGACTAGGGCAGGTGATATGGGGTTAATGTCAGTGGAACGCGGTGAGATGAAGCTAGATGTGGTGAGACACGGCGAGAGAAAGCCATCGTGAGATATCAGGTGAGATGATACCCAGACGGATCTCACTGAGTTGGAACGCGGTGAGGCGAAGTGCGCTGGCGGCGGGCAGGCGAAGTGTGCCAGTGCTAATTGGGGCTTATTGGCGCAGCCTGATACGATTATAATACTTATCGATACCGTGATGACTGGTGGAATGCCGTCACGGCTTGCTTTGGAGCCATAGCTAGATGTGGCCGTGATGCCGGAGAGGTGGTCTCATGAGAAGTCGTTATTGCCGCTGACGCTTTACGACGGGAATAGCAGCTGACGCAGTTCGCCATCGCCCGTCTCTCACCACCACTCAAAGGGCAGGCACTGCAGCAATCAAACCCCTCACCTTTGGCTTTCCAGGCGCGCTGCTTAACCACTGCGCTACCGGGAACTCGGTCCTGTGAAGCAGTCGAGGTTAGATGCAGCCGTGATGAAGTGCAGCCGTAGTTTTATGCAGTCGAGGTTGAATGCAGCCGTGATGAGGTGCAGCCGCAGTTATATGCAGTCGAGGTTAGATGTAGCCGTGATGAGGTGCAGCCGTAGTTTTATGCAGTCGAGGTTATATGCAGCCGTGATGAGGTGCAGCCGCAGTTATATGCAGTCGAGGTTAGATGTAGCCGTGATGAGGTGCGGCCGCAGTTATATGCAGTCGAGGTTAAATGCAAGCCGTGATGAGGTGCAGCCGCAGTTATATGCAGTCGAGGTTAAATGCAGCCGTGATGAGGTGCAGCCGCAGTTATATGCAGTCGAGGTTAGATGTAGCCGTGATGAGGTGCAGCCGCAGTTATATGCAGTCGAGGTTAGATGCAGCCGTGATGAGGTGCAGCCGCAGTTATATGCAGTCGAGGTTAAATGCAGCCGTGATGAGGTGCAGCCGCAGTTATATGCAGTCGAGGTTAGATGCAGCCGTGATGAGGTGCAGCCGCAGTTATATGCAGTCGAGGTTAGATGCAGCCGTGATGAGGTGCAGCCGCAGTTATATGCAGTCGAGGTTAAATGCAGCCGTGATTAGGTGCAGCCGCAGTTATATGCAGTCGAGGCTAGATGCAGCCGTGATGAGGTGCAGCCGCAGTTATATGCAGTCGAGGTTAGATGCAGCCGTCATGAGGTGCGGCCGCAGTTATATGCCGTCGAGGTTAGATGCAGCCGTGATGAGGTGCAGCCGCAGTTATATGCAGTCGAGGTTAAATGCAGCCGTGATGAGGTGCAGCCGCAGTTATATGCAGTCGAGTTGGATGCAGCCGTGATGAGGGTGCAGCCGCAGTTATATGCAGTTGAGGTTAAATGCAGCCGTGATGAGGTGCAGCCGCAGTTATATGCAGTCGAGGTTAGATTTAGCCGTGATGAAGTGCAGCCGCGGTTATATGCAGTCGAGGTCCGATTCAGCCGTGATGAAGTGCATCCGTACCTAGATGCAGTCGAGGTTAGATGCAGTCGAGACTGGATACGGTCGGGTTTAGGAGGTTAGATGAAGCCGTGATGAGGTGCAGCCGTAGTTAGATACAGTTGACGTTAGATGCAGGTGTGATGACGTGTAGCCGTAGTTAGATGCAGACATGATAAGGTGCAGCCGTACTTAGATACAGCCGTGATGAGCTGCAGCCGTGGTTAGATGCTGTCGACGTTAGATGCAGCTGTGATGAGGTGTAGCCGTAGTTAGATGTAGCCGTGATAAGGTGCAGCCGTACTTAGATACAGCCGTGATGAGCTGCAGCCGTGGTGAGCTGCAGCCGTGGTTAGATGCAGTCTGGGTTAAATATAGCGGCGATGAGGTGCAGTCTGGGTTACAGCCATTATGAAGTGCAGCCGTATTTAGATGCAGCCCTGATGAGCTGCAGCCAAAGTTAAATGCAGCCGTGGTTGGATACAGCTAGGGTTAGATATGGCCGGCCTGGGGTGCAGCCGTAGTTAAATGCAGCCGTGGTTGGATGCAGCTGGGGTTAGATATGGCCGGCCTGGGGTGCGACCGTGGTGGAACAAAGACTACTGATTGTCCAGACGCACAGGCATCCAACCACACTGCGATTCGTGTCATCATTCGGCGAAGCTGTGATATCGTTCAACAAAGCTGTGATATCATCCGGCGAAGCTGTAACCGAGCGCTCGATGTATTGATGAGAATGTGGGGCAAGCAGGCATTCTAGGCTTTGGCGCCGTGGTGGGGCAAACACTGTTTACATGAGTGCGTGGTTACGCAAGACGAGGATTCTCCAACAATGGATCTGTGAAACTCAGCTGTGGGTGGTATAGATCATGATGCAATGTGCTTATGGCGATATTCGGCTCAGGTGAATCATTAAGACCGGCATGTACTATTTAGCTTTTGCTTATGCCTAGCACGTAAAGACGTACGATTTCCGGAGCTGCTCGATTTCTCAACATTATAATGGACGCATGATGCAAGTGTTGCAACGATTGTGCTCGACATGGCACGTGCGCAGCTCTCTATTTTATTGGCAACTTGTTTCACGGACTCCACCGCTAGTGGTCAGATTACAGCAAATAAGATTAAGGGAATGAGATCCGGCGAGTGATATTTTTAAAAGCCGTAGACAGATACCCTGAGTCAGTGCTCACTTATTCAACACAACTGCTGTACAGCCGAGCGGAATGACTGCAGGCAGGCTGTAAGCTGAACAGTTTGGATGGCCGTGTTGTTGGCTTCGACAGCCGGCGGGGAAGTGTTCCGCCATTTATCCGCTCCCTCTCCTGACGCCACCTTAGAGCGGGGCAATCCACCTCTCAACGGCCACAACGAGACGAACAGCAGAACAGACGGCGCCGCCGCGTGGTGCGTGCTCCTCGGGGAGCCGTGCTCAGCCGTGCCTGCGGCCAGCCGGCGCGGCACTCCCGTGCCGCCGGCGCTTCGTCGGCGCCGTCGGGACGGCCGACGAGCACTTCCGCGCCGCGCCGCCGCCGCTGCCCGGGCGTGCGGTGCCGCCGGTTCCGCGCGGCCTGGCGACGTAAACAGCGCTGCCGAATGGAGCCCGTATGCGCCGCTGAAGGGTAGCGGATGGTCCCGGTGGTATTGACGTGGGCGTCTGGCCGGCGGCGGGCGGCCCACGCACCAGGTGTGGCCCGTCTCGTGCTGATGCCGGCGCGCCGGCTCCACTGGGAGGCGTAGGGCGCGGCCCCGGGGGCAGCCTCGGCACCCAGCGCCATCAAAAGGGCTGTGGTACGCCCCCAAGGGTGAGGAAGAGTGGATAAATGCGCCTGCCTTGCGTATTGCTGCACGCCTTTGGATTTCCGGAAACAACGCGCCCAAAAAACAAGCCGCAGTCGTCTGTGGAAACTTGCTGGGGGTGACGGCGCGTTAATCAAGTCAAGCGCGGTGTGTAACGGCCCAAAGGTTACAGCTATCGGCTTCCACGTGCGGGGAGGGGGGGGGGGCGGGATCAGGGTCCACATGGGGGGCCCGGGATCAAGGCCGGGTTTTGGAATGATATTTTAGCGACAGCACGTTCTTGGCAGTCGGCGCTGCTTGATCAAAAGGTGCGTGACGACGTGTGTCGCGTTCATTTAAAAAATACTTACGTCACGCCGGCAATCCCGCGTAACGTCATAGCCCGTCGCCTGTTGTAACAGCACCAGACGGCTGCGCCAGCGCCATCCACCGTCCGCCGTCCGCCGCCTGCGGCGCACCGGACCGGCGTGGGTACTGCACTATGTGGCAGGAAATTAGCATCCCGAATATATAGCCTTCGGAAACGTCCGTTCGTCCGTCCGATGGGTTGGTGCGGTGGCACATGCAGGCTGTTCTGGTCGGCGACGGCGTCGCTTGCGCTTTCCGAATCGCATCCAACTTTTCGTGACCTGGCGTGGTCGCTGCTTGGGTGACGGGATTGACTCGTGGTCATGCCACGTTTTCGCTAAGTGCCGCCAGCTAGCTGCCATCAGCGGCCGGTTGCCCTGAATCAGACAGTCGTATAGTTTCAGCTGAATAATCTGAGATACCGTGAAATGCCCTCTCCACTGCTTTGCATGATATATATATATATATATATATATATATATATATATATATATATATATATATATATATATGTGTGTGTGTGTGTGTGTGTGTGTGTGTGTATGCATATATATGTGTGTTCGTACATGCATATACTACGATAGGCAGAGACCGCATCGCACCGTGCCCTCCCCTATTAACGCGCCGCTGATACAGCGTGCCCCCACCGTCCCCCCCCCCCCCCACCCCACCGTCCTCCGCCTGCATGATCCGCACAGGCACTGCAGCGAGGACAGGCAGACCGGTCGCTGTCGGGGAGTCTTTTCTCGCGTCGAAACCGAGTGCATGGTCCAGTGTCCGTCGTAACAGATGTGGCCGTTTGGCGTGTCGTGGTGCGCTGCACCTCGTGCAGAGGTGGGCACGGGAGGCGTTGCCACGGTGCGGAACTTGGCTAGGAACTGTTTGTCTGGATGTGTCTGAGAGTGTGATAACTTCACGGGTACACCATGCTCCGGAAATGCAAGGCATGATATAGGTCATAATGCTTTAGCATTTGGGAAATGCGTATTAAGGGCACTGAGAGCCGTTTAACCAGACAAGCACCAGTGCCTGTATTTTTGCCGGCTGGAAGATATTCAAATATGCGATTAGCTCTTCCCAATGACTTAGAGCAGCCCTCAAGTGTCATCGCTACTGGGAGTCGTGCCGCCGGCCAGTGCCGCCAGTGCCTTGGCAGCCTCGGTGTCATGTCGTCGCACTGACCAGCGCCCGTTCGACAGGTGCAGGTCTGAACGGTGAGGGCAACCACGTGTGATGCGGGCCACCGCAGCGCCTGGACCCGCCGGCTGCCGGCCCCCTGCCCCCCGGGGCTGCCGCTGACCGACGGCGGCACCGGCCCCCTGCCCCGCCCGGGGGCTGCCGCTGACCGACGGCGGCACCGGCCCCCTGCCCCGCCCAGGGGCTGCCGCTGACCGACGGCGGCACCGGCCGGCCGGCCAGCGGCGCCGCCGGTCCGCCGCCGCACAGCGGCCGGCAACGGCCGCTGGTCAGCTGCTGTGCGACCGTACTGCTGTCGGCTGCGACCGCCTGCGACAACGCCCAGCAGCTATGCTGTGGGGCCAGACCGACTCTGAGAGACCGGACGGCGCTGAGAGACTGGACGGGCGCTGTGGGATCGTAGGCCGCTGTGGGACCGGACTGGCACTGTGGGACCGAACGGGCGCTGTGGAACCGGACGGGCTCTGAGGGACCGGACGGCCCGAGCAGAGGTCCCCTACGCGCCGGCCGCGTGCCCCGTGATCCGGAGAGTGACCCGCTGCCGACTAGTGAGGCTATCGCCCGCTGGTGACATGCGTCTCGCAGAGAAGTGTGGCCAGTGAGAGTGCGCTACCAGCCGTGCAGGCTGGCGGTGGACGCGGCGGCCCTTCTGGGGTGGCACTTTGGCCAGACGCGTAGCCCGCGGCCCACTGGAGAACACCAGAAACGCTCCATTCAGACTCAGTCGACGCTACGTGCGGTTCTCGGCGAAGAATGCGCGGAACGTGGACAGATTTGGTGGAGAACGCATCGAATGTGATCATTGATGGTGGATACTCTTGTTTCGTGGCGATGCAGAGTGACATTATCGCCCCTGGAAGTATGCCACCAGACAGGAGGGGTTGTTAAATGTGTCTTAGATCCATCGGACAATCAAGCGTGTCTTTTACCAAGTCACCGTCCGCTTCTTTGACTGCCACCAACGGCCGTTCGGTGCGACGATACCACCACGCAACACCAGAAAAGACGTGGAACTTTATAAAACGTTAGACAATCGGGAACCGACACGTCCAGGTGTCCCTTGGCGGTCCCATGGTGAGATCACCAGGGGAGCGCCCGAGACACGTGACACGAACAGCAACGACGTGCCGTGTCAAAACTAGTGAGTGACAACAGCGTGATGTGTTGACACAATCAGTTCTGTCACCTCGTAATCGTACAATCACCTGAGACACCATGTGATGTTACGTGTGATGTAGCATCGTAGTGACGTAGTGACGTCATGTGGGTCTACACAGAGTAGTGTCGGCGGTGCCGCCTGCCCCTCGCTGGGTCTCGCCGCTGACCTCCGCTGACCTGGCCGACCTCAGCTGACCTTGCCACCATCGGGGCACGTGGGGTCAGCGTGGAGGCAGCACACAGCAGGACTGTGAGACGCTGGTGCTGTCGGGATGTCGCAAGTCCGACCACGCGCCGCCGGCAGATCGGGGTCGCGGGGTCAGAGCAGATCGGGGTCGCGGCACCAAGCGGACCGCTAATGCGCGGCCCTCGTCCGCGCGCGCCGTTGGGGCAGCCAGCTGGCGCCGCGGGAGCGTCTCTACGCGACGCGGCGTGACGCATGGTCGTGCAGGACGTCACCGGTCGGACTCAGAGGAAGCGGCCAGTGACGCTGTGCCGGTGACGCTGCACCAGTGACGCTGCACTAGTGAAGCCGTGCCAGTGACGCTGTCAGGCGGTGCGCGAACAAACGCGAACTCTGTGACGCCTGTGCGCCCTGTCCTCTGCTGCCCGCCCACGCCGGCCGCCAGCGACGAACATAGCGACCAGAGAAGGACCGACCTACTGGAAGCTGCAGTGGAAACTGAGCTGAGGTGCCAGCATCGCCAGGCGAGGAAGCGCGGCACAGAACTGGGGGCTGCCCGGTGAGGACGTATGACCCCGAAATACTTGTATTCATGTTGTGGAATGTGAGAGCTGCCGCGGTGTGCTTCTCTTCGGCTGTTTGGAATGCTGTGAGCAGTATTTTTAGGACATTCGTGCCGTCTGGATGACAATGAACATGTAAAACAGGCAGGCGCAGTGTGAACCAGACAGATGCTGACCCAGGAGTATGCGCCTCCCCCGATCCAAGCCACCGTGTCCACCTCTCCGACGTGTGAGGTGGATGTTGTCGGGTCTGCAAGCGTGTGGGAAGTATTCGGCGACTCTCTTGCGAATTGCTCTTCGGCTCCGGAAGATTCGCCTCCGTCCGTGTTTTGAACAGCTTGTGTTGTGTTGTGTTGTGCCGCGCTGTGTTGTGTTATGTCGTCAGCCGGGCAAAAGTACGGTACTCCCGGAAACTGTCGTCAGCTGGGCACCGGTACGGTACTTCTAGAAAACTATCAGGCGCCTGACTAGCCGCCCACAAAGCGTGAAAGTAGCATCGCTTTAATTATTACACATTCCATACCGTCCTTGCAGGGCCCAGTCGTCGCGCCTTTGGTGCACCTGAAATGCTAGGATCCGAGATGCAGTGCTTTTCACGGGCCATCTTCTATAATCGGGTTGAAAAGTCATTGACAGCACTAATTTATAACACCAGCAATCTGTGAGAACAATGTGACCATGGTAGCACTATTCCATGACGAGATCAACGCGTCTTCGTACATTAGTGCCATTATCGTTGTTTTTTTGCTTGCCGTTTGTTAGTAAGATCGTCAGCTGGCAGAAGTCCAGTGCCGGATAAAAACCAGATATAAATGCAGTGTTACTAAACAGCAAATCATTACGTGATTGCGTCAGTGCCATCGATGACACTGGCGCTGGTGGCAAAATTAACGCGCTTGTGGCGTTTTCTACAGGATAACGCTCACCAAAGCACGGCAGAACATTTCAGTCAATTCTATAAAACTTCTCTGCGTTGCGAATACGCCGTTATCACCACTCGCTGCGTCACAAATTGACATTAAGTTGCGAGGAAAACAGTGTCGTTAATCTTTTGCCGGATCGGGTTTGTGCGCTCCTTATTAACATTATCGCGACCTTAACCATTCGTCCGCGAAACCGAACCGGTTTTGTTTGCATTGTTCTGCCCCTCGACGCCAGCATCGTATATGGTAGCACCGTATATGGTAGCAGGGTAATATGGGCCTGATCGTTGTTTTCGACTCGTGCCGCGCGTGTGTTTTGTGACTGCGGAGGCTCGATCTTCATAAGCAAACACTGTCCTGGCGTACTTAACTGCGACACAACATGTCGTTGCGTCACAACAGGTGCTACTCTTTGGACTAGCACGCGTTCGTGCATGACCAGGCCTATTGTGACGTCACTGGTAACAGGCTGGGGAAGAATTCGCTGATTAAACGCGGGCTTCGGGTCGTTGTTTTTGCGGCAGAGCTACTGTGCGTGCGCTGTCCTGTTCCCATACTGTCAGTACAAAGGAGGCCGCGCTCGCTGGTCGCTAACATGTCTGTGAGCGCTGTCTCCGTGTCGCCCTTTCATCGCTGTGCGTGCCCACTAGCGGGACACATGTATGTTTGTCCGCGGTGGGTGTCGGCGTCAATGAGGCGCCACCGCCCCGCGGACCGGTCTGGGAGGCGGTGGCTCCCGCTTGGGCGGCACGCTTCATGCCGTGGTCCCGGCGCTCCCCCGGGAAAAGTTAGCAGACTGTATGTACGCTATACTTTGGGGAGAGATGTTGGCTTTTCCCGGCGGAGCGCGGGCGCGCGCTGGCCTGCGAGGATGAGAGTCATGACTCTGCTGATCTGGCGGGGTGGGCGGCGACCTGCGGCCTGGGCTGGGGCCGGCCGCTCGGCGCCGTGCGGAGGGGCTGGCCGGGGCCGGGGCCTCTCCCCGCCTCTGCCTCCGCGCTCCCTCCGGCGCGGCCAGTCACTGACTGCGCCCGAGTGACCGCAGGCGGCAGGGTTGGGACCGATGCACGCCGCGGGTGGTTCTGTCCCGGCCAGCCCGGGTGTCCGCGTTGGAACCGGCGCAATGGTCAACCGGTCTCGCGCGGTCAGGGCCTCGCTGTCTGCTCCTCTCCTCATTTCCCCCAGTGTGGTGGGGGTTGACGTGTGGGCAGTGTTGGCGCGGCCTGCGGCACAGCACCTCTGGCGTGATGCGGCTGCTTACTCCCCTGTCTCACGCTTGTCCGGTCGCCGAGGGCGCTGGATGGGACGTTGCGCGCTGACAAAAGCATTGGAAAGTCCACGGCGTGGCCACATCCCTTTCTCGCGTGACTCCTTCTCCTGTGCTAATAAATGGACGGAATGTGAGTTTCGTCTTGTTGTCGTGCTCGGTGCATCGGCCACTGGTATAGAGGCAACAAGTGCAAGCATCGACGAACGATCACCATACCATAAACAAGTCTGTTGACAACGCACCCCAACGCTCCAGGAGCTTCCGCGGTGCAAGCCTTCGTACATCCTGTGTGGACTTGTTTGCCAATTTTCTCCAGCGTTATTCCGAAAATGACAGTTGAGTTTGAAAATGGAAGATGGAATTGAAAACGGATTAGAGGTGGCTGCCTGTCACGTTCAGGACCTCAGAGAGTAGGAGGGAGAGGCGAACCAAGGATACGGACACTGCCCAAACCTAATTTGCATTCACGCGGTGCCCAGTATGGTGGCACCTCACAGGAGAAGACCCGAGCCAAATCAAAGCTTGCCTTGGCCCGTGGCCTGGTTCTCAGCGAAATCCTAACGGCACGAAATGAGGAAAAATGTCGTGCACGCTGTCTTACAGCGTGGACAAGCAACACAATGTCCTGGGCGTAACACGCGGTCGGGCGGGAGTCAATCCAACCGTCGAAAGGCTTTCCGAAATGGTTTTCCGAATGGCACTGCGTAGCCGCGCCAAATTTTGTATGGCTTTAAAAACAAACAGAATAGTGGATCGCTTGGTATCACAAATCTATATGTACCCTGTAAACTCACTGACCTACGGCAGATCAAAGTTAAGCCATGGTTTCAGCAAAGTTATTGTCTAGGGAATCGTTTAATCTGGTGCAACAACGGAGTGCTAGACAACGATTCCTTTCAAGGCAACGCAAGGTTTGAATAAACAAATTCCATTGACCTAGGGTCAGGTATGAAGGTCAGTCCAGGGTCAAAATCAACCTGCCTTATTA